ATCCTTTGGGTGGTTTACCTGTGTTTGTAGAGGATATTTTGAAGTTGTGATTTATGGGACTGGGAATATGGGAGCTGCTAGTCTAATAGCAGTGCAGTTCCTGGTTTCTTTTATCAGCTGCAGAAGTGATACTTTAAAATGACAGGCTTACCCTTCATGTCAGTCCTCAAAACTGAGGGAGTTCAAAGTCAGCTACTCCATTATCCTTTAACCACAGACAAGAAAGAAGTCTGGATGTCGATCTTACTGATTTTGTCCATCGTTTCTATAAAATTCCTTATTTTCTATTACCTCTTTGACAAACAAATGTACTATTTATGTGCAACAAGCTTAGAGCATCTGAGTGCCAAAGAACATGTGCTGTGAGGTGACTGCTTGAATGCTTTCCCTAGGTGTCATAAGGAGAAAAGGTTTACATTCTATTTATCCTTTGGCCACATTTTGAAGGAGGGAAGTTTAAACAGTAAGTTTCAGTATAAGTTACCATGAACCAAAGTACCCACTTACAGACAATTTAGATACAAAGCTAAGGTTCTTGCCAGCAGTTTTAGAGCTACTGAGGTAGAAACTATTAAACCTTTATTCAGCCCAACACTATTCTGTGGAATATACAATATGGCTTATTAATCAGGTCCCATGGCCACTGTTCTACAGCAGTAGTTATACACATTATTGCAGTTTTGTTCGTTAGTCACTGCTGCTGCCACAGAATTGTTGCAGTAGCTTTGATTGCTTGGAATAGTATTTGTGGGCATTTTAATGGCATCACTCTATTTATATAGCATCTCATTTTAAAAATAGCTGACCAACTCTTCAGCTGGTATAAATCAGAACCGTTCTCAGTTAGTGGAGCTAAGGCCGTTTTGGACTGCAGAGCAGTTGGCAGGGCAACTGTTCAAATATAAAATACCATTGTGTGCAAGGTAGAATACCTTTGTCCTTTTCCTTTCTTTCAATATAGAAATTCAACAAGACTTGTAGGCCTTCTACAGGTGCTGAATAAGTTATGGAAGTTCACATAGGATATATCAGCCTTGGTGACCAGGAAATCATTCCATAAGTAACAAGTCATCAAAAAAATGGTATATGGATTCTCCTGGATGACATTTTCAACAGAGTTTGAGAATAGTGAATTGACGTCATGGTTCATGCAATGGTGTGGGGAATGAAGTAGATTGTGTTCAAAGAATGTTGAGCAGGGGATTCAAATACTTTCTAAATATGATAATTTTTCTTTCCTTCCTTCTGGGTCTTCCTCTTCCTTATCCTATAGATTTTAATGTTTGTGTTTTTAGGTAGCTATACAGTTTCTATTTAGTCTGCTAATGTTCATGTCTTCACCTATATAGTAAACCTGTCCTAGCTTCAATTTTGAGGTGCTAATATGCAGCATGTGTGAAAGCATAAACCAAACACAACTCTGATCTGTCAGTTCTTGACTGTTTGATGCAGCTTTTGCTTCTGAAATTCTCTTCTACACTCCTAGGAAGGTTGAGACATGTTTAACAGGCAATTCCCTTTGTGAATTTTTTCCACATTTTCTGTCTTATATCTGTCTCTCAACATCTCCCTTCCATTCTTCCTTTAAAACTGCTTTGGAACCTACTTGTGCTGCTTACCAGAAACACCCAGTTGTGAAGAAACTTAAAGTTTACCAACATGTAGAGGTCATCTGACTGTTGAAAGTGGGGAAACAGAAATGTTAGAGAAAGTCATAGTATGAGAAAAGGCCTTCAGCAGCATTTTATACAAATGAAGACAGATGTTATTAAATAGAAGACAATGGGTCTTGGTTTCCAGAGTGGCATGGAAAGTCTGCCTGGAATGTTCCTGTGGAAAGTGGAGAGTTGACTGTTGCTGCATGTAATATTTCAGATAATGAAGTCATTAATACAATCCATCCCAAGTCCTGTATTGTTATATTGAATAGATTCCTAGTTTTATTTAATGTTTTTAGGAGGAAGAACAGGTATACTGAAGAAAGAAGAGAGCTGCTCCAGAACTCATTCTTTCCTGTTACAGAGAAAACAATTTTTTTCCTTTCAGAAGACTTGATCTAGGCAGTAAAGCAGTCACATATTTGTTTTGTTACTTGTATTAGGTTTCTGTAACAGGGCTATGCTCATAAAGATGTAAATTCCTGGCATTTTTCCATTTATCAATATTGAAATATTAGTGATCAAGTATTTACTGACCACCATTCCTCAAATGCAGGGTCTCCACAGCATCTTGTTGCATTCATGGAATTCATTTGTTTGCATCATCTGGCTAGCTGGTTCTTTTGTATTGCCAAGGTGGTGAACAGATCTGACATTTAGCTGATTACTTCACCAAAATTAAACAGAAAACAGGGCAGCCATCCAAAGCTCCTTTCAGTGTGAAAGCTAATTATAAAAATGCTTTGAGCAGCAATTTCTTTTTGGATGTTGAAGTGCTTTTATTAGATTGTTCCCCAGTCATTTTAAAATTTATTGCTAGACACTTATAAATGGGGTTGCCTGCTGTAGTAGAATGATTTTATTTTATTTTCTATATCTAAGATAGGAGACAAAAGTGTATAGAGTAAATATCAGGCTGAGTTTGTAGCATTTTACATGATTCTGAATAGAAAGGAGAAAAACTAACTAGTGCTGGCTTTCATGGATCCAAAATATGTATATTATCTTTATGCTGAATAAAATCCACTTCTATTTACAATTTGGTAACTTCCAACTTCCAAAAGTAAATACTTAGTAAATAAAAAAAATCAAATATGTAATTTAAAAGTGGAGTTATGGCCTTTCTATTGTTGGAAGCTTGTATTTCGAGTTACAGGTATAAAAAATCTAACCATGTCCTTGTATCTGTCTTTCATAAGCCATTACTTGTTCTCAAATAGCATAAAACTACTCTAAAGTAATTTTGTTGAGGTCATTGAATTAAGAGTTGGCCAAGGGAATTATAACTAGTAAATTTAGAGCTGAAGAGTGCTGCATCCTGTTACCAGATCTTAGAAGTTTCTTGTGAAGTATTCTTTTTAAGGCCTTGGAATATATTTAACTTTCTATACTGACTGTTGTTATTAGCATCCTTTGGACCCCAGACAAGGTGTGATCTGGGGAGGTTTCAAGGTGACAAAGTTGGGGGTTTTTGCATATGATATTGTCTAGCACACTTTGGCTACTAAATCATTTTGTGAGGACATATTCATATTCTTGACACTGAGATCTATTAATATACCTTGAAGTCAAGTGAATTATGTGAATCTGCTGTTTCAAGCTGTAGAACTCTGCCATAACTAGGAGGAAATATTTTGCTGTAGGTAGATTAATGTTGAAAGCTTGTCAAGAAAAAGTTTAATGTTGAAAATTTATTATTCTTGTTCTTGCCAGTACTTCAGTTCTATACTAAATCCCATTTGTAATGTGATGAGAAATAGAGATATAATTTCTTTTGTATTTATCTATGTTATTAGAGTTACAATGTTGTAGTCTATTGCCTATTAAAAAGTACATCCCAATGAATGATCTTCCAGAGGGTAATTTTTGCTCCCATCAATCTGAGAGCTTTTCTTGTAAAATACAGCAACTGACAGTGCTTATCAAATAATTTATTTCCATTGCAGGAGAAGTAATTAAGATAACTCAACATTCTGTATTAATTAAATAAAATAACAATGCATATAAGAGATTTGCTAAAAACCCTTTATGGAGATAATGGATAGGACTTCATCTGCATGTTCTCAGGAAGATTTGAATAGACAGAGAATGCAGTCTGAATAACAGGCCTAAGGAAAGAGCTGATGAATGTACAACACAACCATGGGTTTGGTTTCGTTTGACTGTTAAATTCTATTTCAGTACTAAGCTTTCATAAGTCTTTGTACCTACCAAGTGTCCAAGCCATGTATAAGGCAATTGACACCACACATTTTCAAAACTTAAAATAAATAAACAAACAAAGCCAGTTTTTAAAACAGTTGCTCTGTGGAGCTTGCAAAAACTCTGATAATTTGTAAAGTGTCTCTACAATTACATTAATTTAATTAATATAAATGTTTTAATTTGTGAATTTGTGTGGATTTGACATAAAGATGTCCATAATTCCATCTATCTTCATGCTCTGTCACCTCTACCTACCTGCTTGACAATGTGATGAATTATGCAGGACATGCTAAACAGGGGGAGAAACACAGTCCTGTTGATTTGAAAGTTCACAGATTATGTCTGTGAAGAGAATCTTCTTTGCTGGCTTTAGTTGTTAACAGATTTAACATTTCTGCAGTTCAAGCCATCCCCTTGGCTGTGCTCTGTGTCAGTCTTTCATTGTGTCAGTGAGCCTCCTATCACCACAGCACTGCATGTGTGTGTGATGTACCTGCCTAAATTGTGTAAGGAATGAACTTACAACACTTCAGACAGCCTAAAAACATGAAACGTTCTTTCTCTTCTACATAAACCAGGCCTATATGGACCTAGCTTTGATGTGAGTGCTGTGCAAGCTCATCAGGTGCAGTTTGGTACTTAATAGTACTTTTGATCCTGCATTGGCTTTGTGATAAATTCTGAGAAAAAAGGGCAAAAACTTAGTCTGTGCAAGAATTTATTGTACACTCAGGCTTGAGTCGCACAGCAGGACACACTCAGACAAGAGCTTAAATTATTCTGTGGCATAGTAGCAGTTAACGTTTGTTTATCAGAGCTTATTTTTTTGATTAATGTTTAATTAGAGGTGTCTGTCAGAAAATAACTTGTTCATTTGACCAAAATAAACTCAGCAGAAACATTAAGGGAGAATGAAATGCAAGACTTTTTGCTGATGAACAAACTTTTGTGCTGCATTCATATTTATTTGCTAAATTGAAACTTCCTATGTCATAAATGCAACCAGGTTTACGTAATTTTTGGAAAATTAACTGAGTAGCTTAACCACAACCAAGAAAAAGAGAACTGCAAACCCATCTCTGGTTGCAAAAGTATCTCCTGGAGTGTTTCTAACTTATACCTATTGTTTTTTCACAGGTTGATGGGATATTGTGCCTGGCTGACATTCTTACTGATAACACCCATTCTGAAGCTACTCATGCAGAAGCAGCAGCAGTAATTGCACAGATCACATCTCCACATCTCACGTTCACTCAGCATCTCAGCAACTTTCTGGAAAATATGGAAGAAATTGTAACAGCACTTGTCAGTAAGTTCTTTATGGGACTTCTGAGGAGTTCCAGTGCAAACGACAGGTTGGAGTAGGATTCTCTTTAATTAGAAATATTCCCTAAATAATGTTTGTCATTCTTTCCTTGACAGATAAAATAACTCAATCATTTTTAATTCTGAATCGGAACATTCTGCAGTGACACACTATTTTTTACTCCAGAATAGAATTTATGTATATTTGTCAAAATAATATCTGAGTGAAATTCTACCATTAGAGCCACAAAAAAGACTCAGTGTCACTGTTTGACTCAAGTTTGACAATGCTCTCGATCCCTCCCCCTCCCACCCAGGGAGAGAAAAAGAGAGAGACTTGGCTGGATTGAAAACTGAACTAGACAGCTTTGATTTAACATAATGACAAAAGAAAATCTATACAATTATATACAAATGTGTTCAGGTACGTGCAAAAGCCTCTTGCCTCCCCCCACCCCCAGCAACTCCCACAGCATCTCCTTAGCTGGAACAGTCCCAAGAAATCCTGGAGCTGCTGGAGAAAGCACAGAGTGATGAGGGTCAGGAGAGCTTGAGCCTGCGGGTCGATGATGATGGACGGAAGAGAAGGGAAGAAGAAGAAGAAAGGAAGTTATCTTCTGTGATCTCTGACCTTCCTCTGAGCTTATGTAGATATATGGAATGGAATATCTCTGGCCAGTTTTACTGTCTGTCTAACTCAGCCTCTTACAGGGGGGTCATAGATCTCCCCATAGTATCTGAGCCAGCAGAGTAAAGGTGTGACCTTGAAGGTCCAGCGGTTAGAAAAACATTCCACTTTTATCTGTCTTAATTGAAACACTCTCCTACTAGTTAAAAAAAAGCTTACTGAAGGAAAAAAGAAATCAGTAAAAGGAAAATTGACTTCATCCTGGCTCAAACCAGGACACTGTACAGCAAAGTATCCTCTTGTGCCATGTTTTTCTGTAGAAAAGCGGTTTCTAATAGTTACTAAAATTTATGCCTGCTACATTTTCTAAACTTGCTAGAACTCAAGGTCATCACTGCATCTACATTTGCATTTGGTACTCCAGAGGAAAAGTACAATATAGCATAACCTGTAGGCATTGTTACAGGACAGTAGAAGTTCTGTCTATCTTATCTAGGCCTCCAATACATGGTAAAATGAGACAAAGGTAACAGCAAGCTTGTCCTTAACCTAGGTCAGTGAGGACCCTTCAGCAAAATAAGTTGATATTTCTGATGACTTTCTATAGAATGGCATCTTTAATTCTATCATTGTCCTCCATCCTTCTCAAATAACAGAAGCTTTCAACTATTTCTACTATATATCTATTTCAGGTATAATTTGGGTCATCTAGTTTGATTTCTTATGCATAACGCATCAATATATCTAGATATTTCTCTACTGAGCCCAATGGTTACAGTTAAACTACAGCACTTTAATTTTCTAGCATGTTTTTATTTGGTTCGTGGTTTTGTTTTTTGTTTTGTGGGTTTTCTTGTTTTATTTTATTTGGTTTGTTTGGTGTGTTTTTTCCTGTTTTTGTTTGTTCTTTTTTTTTATTGGGGTTTTGGTACTGGTGTTTTCTGTTTGTTTATTTTGGTTGTTGGGTTTGTTTGTTTGTTTGTTTGTTTAAATAGAAATAGGAAAGAGCATGGTAGGGCCAGAGGCTGAGGAATGTGCAGTGGCTTGGATATGCCCAAACAGAACTTGTGCACTGAAATGAAGGAAACAATTTGTTCTGGATGACCAGACTGTCCAGCAACAAATATTGTGCTCTACACCTGCCCTGAATCCAGTCAGTGGAATTAACTTGTGCTGAGCTTGGTTCTGCTGTAACTAGACTGCTAGAGGCATCTGACCTGACTTATTTAAGATTATTTTCCAGGTTATTACAATGTACCACAGTCAAGGGACAATCTGAACAGCCTACCCAGAAGATTTTAGCGGATGGAACATTGCCCTGATTGTAGTAGGAAATTGTAGGAATTTTAGTAATATATAATCTCCTAAGAAATGTGAGCATTCAAAATAGAACGTGATTCTGTGAAGACGTGTAACTTCGGAAGA